GCCCAGCGACGTTGACGTTGGCGACGGCGGCGGGCACCGCCGTGCCTGGGCGCCTCGAGGCGGAGCGCCGTCTCGGGACAGCGGGACCCCTCGCCGGGGCAGCGCGGCCGGGAGAGGACCCCGTCGCCGGGGGCCATGCGGCAGGCGCGCCGCTGTCGCCGCGGCTGGCGGTCTTGCCTGTTTGTGGTCCTCTCAAGCCCCGTCGTCGTCTCCGTCGTCGTCGCCGTCGCCGTCGCCGTCGCCGTCGCCGTCGCCGTCGCCGTCGTCGTCGTCGTCGTTGTCGTCGTCGTCGTCGTCGTCGTCGCCTCGTCGCCGTCGCCGTCGCCGTCGCCGTCGCCGTCGCCGTCGCCGTCGCCGTCGCCGTCGTCGTCGTCGTCGCCGCCGTCGTCGTCGTCGTCGTCGTCGTCGTAGTCGTCGTCGTCGCCGTGGCAGTCGTCGTCGTCGCCGTCGTTGGAGGATCACTCCTGGAAACTTGCCCCACCAGTGCCCATAGTGCTTTTTTAGATGGTTCTCTCGCACCTTGAGTTTCTGCCAGGCAAAGTCTTCAGATATTCAGGAACGGTCGCGCGAGACCTCCCTACAATTTACTCAATATACGCGCTCTCGCCTAAAACTTCCCCATCATTGATTCAGGAGTCACGCTGTCGCCGCTCAGGAATCGCGCTCTCGCCTGGGACTTCAACTCATTCGGAGTCGCGATCCCGCCACTGAGGAAAACGCGCTCTCGCCCAGGCATTCCTAAAAACTCACTTCGGACTCGCGCTCTCGCCCGAGACTTCTTCACGATCTTGTGAGGACTCGCGCTTTCATGTCCCGCCGGGCCTGGCCTGGCCCGCCTGTTAGGGCACGCCCGCTTCACCCGCTTACGCCCAGCTCGTGCGTTATGAGGGTCCACCCGCCCGACCCTCTCGTTAGGGCCCGCGCGTTTGTTTGCTCAGAAGGCCGCCCGCCCGTTTCTCTGTCCCGCCCGTTCACCCCGCCCGTTAGGGCCCTGCCCGTCAGGGCCCACCCGCTTTCATGGCCCGCTGCCCGACGTGCCCGTTAGAGGGCCCGCCCACCCGCCCCTCTCGTAGGAGGAGGAGGAGGAGGAGGAGGAGGAGGAGGGAGGAGGCGGAGGAGGAGGAGGAGGAGGAGGAGGATCGCACGCCACTGAGGGGAGAACGAGAGAAAATCCGACGGTCAGCCAAAAACCCCAGGGGGGTTCCATCAGAGAGGAACTTTTTGTCGCCCTGGCAGGAAGGCCAAAGACCTGCCAGGGGCCAGCGACAGGGACCCCCCTAGGAAAAAAGCTCGCCGTCTTCGTCCTGGGGCAGGTCTTCCTGCCCTTTACTCTTCAACAGGGCTCCCAGCTCTCGGGCTTCGCCTTCATTCAAACCGAACGCTTGGAGGCAATCAGCAAGGCACAGGTCTCGAGGCCCCGCAACAAACTGAGCAGCCACGAGCCGCTCTCCCCCCAGCTGGGCTCCATCTTCCTGAACGCCACCAGCGAACACCTCCCGAGCACGCTCCCCAGGAGTCACCCAGGAGCCCAGCCTGAGGGGGCGGTTCGGATGCTTGCCCTTGAACAGAGCCTTCTCATTTCTCCTCCCTGGATCTACCAAGGCTACCTGGGAGCCCTGACAGGCACTCTTGAGGCCTTGAGGCCTGGCGCCAATGGTCGCATGCGCTCCACAAGTGGAGCAGCACAACAACGGGGGCCTGCTCGTGGCCCGACACGGGGAACTCCAGGAGCTGACGGCCTCCTGCGGCCCAGGGGAACTGGGCCGCATCAGCAGCCTGACGAGCCAATTCGGCAAGGGCTCCCTCGAGGGCGCGAAGTTATTCGCGCTTCGCGCTTCGCGGTCCTCGTTCCTTCTCCCCCTCCTCCTCGTTCTCCTAATCTCCCTTTGGGAGGGCGGCGCGAGAGCGCGAAGTTATTCGCGCTTCGCGCTTCGCGCAGCGCGAAGCGCGAAGTTGGGAGCCCTGGATTCGGGCGCCAAGGGCTCAGAGGGGGCCTGAGGCGGGCTCTGAGGCTGGGTCGGAGGCGGGGCGCTAGCAGCAGCAGCAGCAGCCTCCTCCTCCTCCTCCTTCCTCGCCCTGTCCTCGGCCTGGGCCCACGCTGGGTCGCCCTCGAGTGAGACCAAGGCGAGCCCCTGGGCACCTATATTATCATATCGGCCCTCTTCAGAGTAAAAAACCTCAGCTCTGGTTATGAACTTTATGAGCTGACGAGCGAGAAACAGCATGCCTTTGCACAGCATTATGTCCTGCTGGTCATGCCTGCCCAGCTCTGCACCTGCTTTCGCCAGTCTGTCAGCCTGGGTGTTGCCAGTCCACTCGAATTCAGAAATCCGCCCCTCACGGACATCAACCATCGAAGAGTGGGCCATCACCTTTTTTCCAGCCGACTTCCACGAGCGAGCCCTGGGCGAAAGTCTCACGCCAAAGGTAGGCCCGCACATTGCTAGAGCGGCAAGCGAACCTGGGATGATGATGATGATGAGGAGGAGGAGGAGGAGGAGGATGTGATGGGCGCAATACCGAGCGCCACTGGAAGCAGCAGATCAGCGACGGGGCGGGCCGATGCGGCAGCCTTCCACCTTCCCTGTCCTCCCTGTGCTCCTCAGTGTGTTCCCTCAGCAGTGTGTGTGCCGCCCCCCTGGCCCCCAGGGGCGACGCGCGCGCTCAGAGACCTTACAAAACATACTCGGTGGCGGGCGCTTTTTGGCCGTACCGCCTGGGTAATCTGCGCTGCATGTTCGGCTCGGATGTGCGCCTCTATGGGGGGCGTAGTACTAGAACTGTCCTTCTGCGTCCTGGGGTATTCTCGCTCCCTTTCTTCTGCCATTTGTTTATCCCCTGCCCCTCGATTCGTGCTCTGATGGCAGGATGAGCCCACATAGCGGGCGTCCTGAACTGACGCGTTCGATTCGTGTGGCGCTCCCTCGGCTGCTGCTGTCTTGACGGGTACTTCTGTGGGTTGCTGGTCCGGTCCGATCCTCCGGCAGTTTTTGCCATTCTCATCGGCAGTTTTTGCACTTCGAATCAATTCCTTTGCGGTGTGCCGCAGAACCCCCCGAGGTGCCTGGCAGCGGCCTGACCACCCAGCCGCACCAGGCGCGCCTATTGCTTTTGCCTATCTCGATTTCTTGTCGCCGTCGTCGGAGGGGGAGAAGACTCGGACGAATAACACACATCTCTCTGTCTATATACATATATACACATACAGCTGCCCTTCTTTCGTCATCGCGGCTGGGGGGAGCGAGGAGGGCGAAGGGCGGGCAAGGGGCGAGGAGGAGGGTGAGGAAGGGAGGCTCCTCTTGTTCACATTTTTCCTCCTGCCTCCTGCTCGACCTCAGTCCTAGAGTGGGACATCGAGGAAGGGAAGCAGGACAGGAGACAGCGGCGAGGGCGAGGGGCAGGCGAGGGGTGTGGAGGCGTGGGGGGGTATCCAGGAGGGGGATCGAGGAGGGGGAGGGGCATCGAGGAGGGGAGGGGGGGTATCCAGGAGGGGGGGGATCGAGGAGGGGTGTTTTTGGTTGCTTCGTTGTTGCTGCTGTTGTTGAACTCCTCACTACTGAAGCATAATCATTATTGATCCCCCCTCTGGTGCACATTCTATTTTTTCAATTAAAATGCCCCTCCCAGCGCTCGCACCCTTTTTTTTTGGTCAGGGAAATTATTCCTCCTTAAACTGGCCCCCTGGCCCCCAGGTTACAACAACAACGGCTCCTGCCTGAGACTTCCTCACAATTTAGCCAGGACCCCCGCTCCCGCCTGAGACTTCTTCGAATTTTATTCAGGAATCGCGCTCTCGCTTTGGACTTCCTTACGATTTATTCAAGAATCGTTCTCTCGGCGCTCTGGAGTCGCGCTCTCGCTGGAGACTTGCTGGCACTTCCTCAAGAATAGTGCCCTTGCGTGGGAATTTCCCAGAATTTGCTCCAGCGCCGCGCTCCCGACACTCAGGCACCCAGGAGTCGCGTTCACGATTAGGACTCCCTCACAGATCACTTAGGAATCGGGATATCGTTGCCCTTCGTGGCCCCGTTGCAGCCCTTCGTGGCCCCCTCGCTGCCCTTCGTGGACCCGTTGCAGCCCTTCATGTCCCCCTCGCTGCCCTTCGTGGCCGCGTAGCAGCCCTTCGTGGCCCCTCGCTGCCCTTCGTGGCCCCGTTGCAGCCCCTCGTGGCCCCCTCGCTGCCCTTCGTGCCCCGTTGCAGCCCTTCGTGGCCCCCTCGCTGCCCTTCGTGGCCCCGTTGCAGCCCTTCGTGGCCCCCTCGCTGCCCTTCGTGGCCCCGTTGCAGCCCTTCGTGTCCCCCTCGCTGCCCTTCGTGGCCCCGTATAATTATGTATGCCCTTCGTGGCCCCCGCTCGTTCGCGCCCGTCGTGGCCCCATGCCGAAGCACCATTCCTGGGAGTTCAATCGTGCGAATCCTTGAAACTGTTTCAGAACAAAAGTGCGCGGCTCTATGGCAAGAGCAATACTTTGAAAAAGACTGCGATAATGTGCGCTGCGCTAGGGGAAGGCGAGATCTACATTGTGGAAACCGCCCGCTCTCATCCGTGAAATTGTTGCAATCTTTATCAGTCATGAGCGCGGCGCTAAAGGCGAGAGCCACATGTTGAAAACGTCCTGCCCTCCATCCCTGAACCTGTTGCAAACTTTACAAACGAATGTGCGCGGCGCGAGGGCGAGAGCTTCATTTTGAAAACGGCCCGCCCTCCATCCGTGAAGCTGCCTCACATTTTAGCTCCAGGGTCATCAGTGGTGCGGAAGTCTCCGGCGAAACGCCCAGCCCACCATGCCGACATGTCTGGGGGGTGCGACAGGAAGGACCGACTTATCGGAAAAAGGGACTGAGGAGTCGAGGGAGCAGCAGGAGGAGGAGGAACGAAAGGAGGGGCAGCAGCGACAGGAGGGGGAAGAGCGAGGGGAGCGCGGAGGAGCGGAGGAGCGGGCGCGACCCCGCCGCTGCCCCAGTCGCAGCGCCCGCCCATGTCGCTGCGGGAGCAGCGAGGCGCGCCCCCCGGCCGCCCGCGCTCTCCTCGGACCTCCTGGGGCCCCGCCGGCGGAGGCCTTCTCTGCCGAGAGGCGCTCGCGCCTTCAGAGCAGTTTTCCGCCTCCGGGGGCCTTCGCCGGGCCCCAGGACCGCCAACAAAACGAGCCGGGAGGAAGAGCCGGCCCTGGGGAGAGGGTCTCGTGTGGGCAGAGTCGAAGCACTGCGTGTCTGGGTCCTCCCTGTCTCCTCCTGCCTCTTGCCTCCTGCCTCCTCCTTCCTCCCCCCCTTTCCTCCCGCCTCCCCCCTGCTCCCTCCCGCCTCCCGCCACCCGCCTCCTGCCTGCGTGCTCCTTCCTTTCGTCCTCCTACTCCTCCTCGGCTCCTCGTGCTCCTCCTCCTCCTCCTCCTCCTCCTCCTCCTCCTCCTCCTCCTCCTCCTCTGGGCGGCGAGCGAGGGGGGGAAGTGAGAAGGAGAAGGACTTCTCTGAGGCCCTCGCGCCTTCTGAGAAGTCTCCTGTGTCTTCGGGAAGGCAGAGGAAACTCCTCAGAAGGCCAGGGGACTTCCGAGCCTTCTGAGAAGGCCCGCCCCCTTCTCACTTCCCCCCCCCGGCTCGCCGCCGATTCTCCTCCTCCTCCCTTTCCCCTTCTTCCTGCCCCCTGCCTCTCTCCTCCTCCTCTCCTCCTCCTCCTCTCCTCCCTCTCCTCCTCCTCTCCTCCTCCTCCTCCTCCTCCTCCTCCTCCTCCTCCTCCTCCTCGCCTCCTCCTCCTCCTCCTCTTCCTCCTCCTCCTCCTCCCTCTCTCCTCCTCCACCCCTCCCTTTCCTCCTCCTCCTCCTCTCCTCCTCCTCCTCCTTCTCCTCTTCCTCCTCCTCCTCCTCAATCCGTTTCCTGTCGAGCAACTCCTCGCCGTCGCGCCACCCGACGTGTCCGCAGAGGCCAGGCCGGACGTTTCGCTTTTGCGCCTTCCGTGTGTTACTGCCTGGAAGCCTCTAACGCTCCCAACCGCTACTCGGAGGGAGGGATGATCCTCGTCATGATGGGGCTCACGCATTGCGTGTGTGTGTGTGTGTGTGTGTGAATGCGATCGTTTTGTTTTTGCACCGAACCGCCCAAACTAGATGCCACCCAGCCGCCCGCAGCTACCGATAGTTGCCGATATGTGGGGCATGCGGGGGGCATCTGTTTTCGGCAGTTCGGTGCACCAGCAGATCGAACTCATGCCCCCCCCCCTCAGGGTCACTCCCCTTTTGGCGGATCCCGACATTAGCGCCGCGCACATTCGTGTCAAATGGAAACGTAATGCAGCAATTGCACAACATGGTGCAGCAGTTTCACGGAGGGAGAGCGGTTCCTTATCACACTGGGACTCTCGGCTGGACCTCCATCAAATTCCTCGACTGGCAGATTGAACATATGCAGCAGCTGCACGACTCGGGCGGTTCCTTTTTCACATGGTGCTCTTGTGTGAGTTTATATTTTTATTCCAACAGCCAGAAGTGCAAGCTTGCGGGACAGGTCACATTGATGGCGGGCGGTTCCATTTCAGAACGGGCTCTTGCTGGACACTTTGCTGAGCTTTGTGATCTTACCTTGTCGCATCCTAGGAAGAGATTCGCGCGGATCTCCGAAAGTTTGTGCTTGCGCCTTCTTACGGCTGGGGGTGGAATGGTAACGTGCAATGTGGTGCCGCTGGCCCGCTTACTATGCGCTATCCCCCACCTTGGGGACAGCGTGCACCGAAGAAGCCCTGGCAGGGGGACAGCTCGCACAGACGGGGCCCTCGTGGGGGGATCGCCTCACGGGGATAGAGCGTGCTTGTCGGACATCGATGTTGCACGCTATCTTTCGAAAACGCCAGCCGTATGGCAAAGCATGGAGGAATCCACTACCATCTTCTTAGCCGACGCTAATCGACGCTAGTCGAAAATGATCGACGCTAAATCGACGCTAGTCGACGCTAGCCGACGCCAATCGACGCTACATCGGCGCTTTCTCATCGATTACCAGGCGCTGCTCGGCGCTAAGGACTGGAGTGAGACGGTATACCATGCTTTGCCACGGGACTTTTCTGCTCCCCTCCTGCGATTCGTCTTCGTCGTCCTCCTCCGGCTCCTTCCCCTTCTCGTGCCCTCCGCGCGCGCTGCGCAGGGCTCGCCATGGGGCCCGGCGCCGTCAGGCCCGCGCCGAGCCGGTGCTCCCCCGGGCGGGCGCCTCCCTCTCGGCATGCCGCCGCGCGTCGGGCCGGGCGTCCCCGAAGCCCCCCCGGGGCCGTCGTCGGGCCGGGCTCCGGGGCCGCCGAGGAGCAGTCCAGCTGGGGGGCGGGTTCGGGACTTCCAGGGGCCCGAGGACGAGGAGGGAAGGATGAGGGAGGGGGGAGGGAGGAGGGGGGGAGGAGGAGGAGGAGGAGGAGGAGGAGGAGGAGGAGGAGGAGGAGGGAGGAGGAGGAGGAGGAGGAGGAGGAGGAGGAGGAGGAGGAGGAGGGGGGGGGGAGGGGGAGGGAGGAGGCAGCTGCCGCGACTCTGGCCCTTCCCCTCCTGCGCCTCTCGTATGATGATGGCAGCTGCTGATGATGATGATGATGATGATGATGATGATGATGATGATGATGATGATGATGATGATTGTGGTAGTGGTTGTAGTGTGGTCATTGTGGTGATGTTGATGATGCTGGTGGTGGTGATGATGATGACGGTGGTGGTGATGATGATGATGAGGATGTTGCTGATGCTGCCGCTGATGATGGTGATAATGCTGATCGTAATAGTGGTCGTTGTGGTGGTGGTGATGATGATGATGATGGTGGTGGGGTTGGTGATGGTGATGCTGCCGCTGATGATGATGATGACCATGAGAGTGGTGGTTGTGGTGATGAGGTCGTTGTTGTTGTTTTTGCTGCTGCTGATGACGAAATGATGACGATTACGCTGATGATGATGATGATGATGAGGATGCTGATGACGATGACGACGATGACGATTGACGATGATGATGCTGATGATTCTGCTGACGACGACAATTATGATGATGATGATGGTAATGATGGTGATGCTGCTGATGATGATGCTGATGACGATGATGATGCTGCTGATGACGATGACGATGCGGTGACGATGGTGGTTATAATGATGTCGATGCTGCTGATGATGATACTGATGATGATGCTGATGCTGGTGATGATGATGGTGGTGATGATGACGATGACGACGATGACGAGGATGATGATGAGGATGATGATGATGAGAATAATGCTGCTGATGATGCTGATGCCGATGATGATGACGATGATGACGAGGATGATGATGGTGCTGACGACGATGATGATGATGATGATAATGATGATGATGATGATGATGATGATGATGATGATGATGATGATGATGATGATGATGATGATGATGATGATGATGCCGACGACGATGATGATGATGATGATGATGATGATGATGATGATGATGATGATGATGATGATGATGAAGAAGAAGAAAAACTTGATTATGAAACTGACAAAGACAATGACGATGGTGATGGTGATGATGGTGATGATGATGATGATGATGAGGAGGAGGTGGAGGAGGAGGAGGCCCGCGCGGATTTTGTTAGTCGGCGCTGGCTCCCTCATCGCGGCGCCTCTGGCGCCGCCACCAGCGCGGTCTGGGCGCGCGGGGAGGGCGGTCCAACGCCGACCCATGAACTCCGAGCGGGCCCACTGCCACCCTCTCCCTTCCCTGAAATCGTTCTCTGGACCGCTCCCAGGGCGCGTTCCGACTACAACGTTCGAGGGAGATGCCTACGACTCTCCTCGATCATCTCTCTCGATCAACTTGGCCTGGGGGCGAAATGCTCCGCAGACGATCCCAGTGGCTGCATGGCGTTTGCCGCCCGTTGGTGAAAAAGGGAAAAGATGCCACGGGGAGTAGTCGGGCCTCCAGACGTCATTTTTTGGTGTGGGTATATCTGATATATGTAGGGGGTCCTGGGGCCCCCAAAGTGCACTGATTTATCTTCCGGCCGTTTCGGGCCCGACGGGGGGCGCCGAAAAACGTCCAAGCGGGCCGAGAGACGTCCAAGAGGGCGCCAAGATGGCCCAAGAGCGCTCCAAGAGAACCCAAGACCGCACAAAAGCGTTTCAAACTTGGTTCGACATGGCGTTAATACAGCCCAAGAGGGCTTCAGGACGGCCAAGATGCCCTCAAAAGGACTCCCACGAGGCACACAGGAGGCGAAAAAACGTAGGTTTGTTCGAGGGTTTTGAAGGTTTTTCGTGTTCTCGCTGCTTCGTGCCTCCGACGGTCCAAGACAGCCTACGAGGCCCCAGAAATCAGCTCAAGACGGCCCAAGAGGCACCCACAGAGGGCGCCACGACGGCGCAAGAGAGTCCCAGGAAGGCCCAAGAGTGCCCCAAGACGGCCCAAGAGGCGGCCAAGATCGCCCGGGAGGGCGCCAATACGGTCCCAAGAGGGGCCCAAGAGGGGAACACGAACCGACAATTCGAGCCTTCCGCCCCAAGAGGCCTCCAGGAGGCCCGAAGAGGCCCCCAACAGAGCCCAAGAGGCCCCCAAGATGTCCCCAAGAGACCCCCTAGAGGCCCCACGAGGCCCCAAAAGGGCCTAAAGAGACGCCCCACGAGCACCCCAAACGACCCCCAATAGGCCTTCAAAACTGCCTTCAAGAGGCCCCCGGGAAGCCTCCCACGAGTTCCAAACGAATTTCCAAGAGGTCTCTAACCCACAACCCAGGCACGGTGGCGGGATGGGCCGTAGGCCACCATCGCGAACGTGAACCGAGAACCCGAGATCTTCGTCCCAGGAGACCCCCAGGAGGGATCAAGAGGTCCCCAAGAAGCTTGGCGACAGATCACTGGTCGACCAGTCGATGAGAGCGGAGGAGGAGGAGGAATGAGGAAGAGGCAGGAGGAAACAGAGAATGCTGACCTCATTATTCACGACCGCCTTGTTGTCTCAACGCGGTCAGCACTCGACCAGAAAAAACCTAAGCGCGCGCGAAGCGCGCGGAATGGTTCTG